AATGGAACTAATGTTTTAATTTAATTACAAAATTAAATTCGAAGCTTTCAGCTTCCACTTTTGAAACATGGTTAAACTATAACGAAAAAAATTTTTAAAAAAATATTTTAAATATATATATATATATATATATATATATATATATATATATATATATATATATTGCGTTTAAGTAGGTAAACTTATGTGGTTAGCATAAAAACATGCTGAAGGCTTTGTTACTTGACTTTTGACTTGATTTGCAAATGAATTCGTAATATTAATTTTAAATCAAGCGACAACCTTTATAGTCGAATTACCACAAGATTATATTCTCTTAAATACATTTAAATAGAAAACCAGACAAATTAGGTGATATTAAATGAATGAACAAATACAAATATAAAAATGTTAAAAAAATTAATGCAATATTGGGATTTAAATCTAGAATATTGGGAGATTATGAAGTCATTCTTTATGATACAATAAAATAACTTATCTTGGTTTTTGGCAGTACTATCATCTCAACCTATGGTTCTCAAACTTTTTACGCAACACCAAACCTAGAAGCAAATGAAAGGGTATAGATTTAAATGTTATGAATTAAAAACCATAGATTTAAAAAATGCAGCTACTTAGTTTATTTTAACGTTTCTATTCATCTATTTGTTCAGCTTATTTGGTATGGAACCTGTGCTTGATGTTTTTTTTTTCGGTATTTCTTCAATGTTTGAATTCAATGTAAGCAGACCTTCAGTTCTTCAACTGAAAATATTTGACGACCCACTTAAGAGGACCACGGTTGAGAAACACTGACCTAAACTATCAATCGATAAAAGATGAACGAAATTATTTCGTGATTTTCTTACTTGCATTTTAGTTTCCCTAACGTTTTATATATTGTCATCCACCGACAGTTTCGCTGATACACAGCTCAACAGTCGGAGATTCCCACCCCCCACCTAAGCACCGTTGAAAGAAAGGCGAATGTTTACGTACATTTAAAATATTAATTTTTTTGAGCTTCTAAAACACGTAATGTATATAATATATGTATATAAACATTTTATATGTTCCAAAATTGCCAAAGACGGCGGTGACAGTTGACACAAGCTCCCACTGTCTATAAAATGCTTACGTGGCATGTGTCACAAATAGCCTCTGACAAGGAAAGCCCGCTTCAAGCTGGAGAATAGGCGGAGGCGTTAAACTGTCGCCTCATGACCAGCTACTTCGAGTAGATACTCGACAGCCCAGGAAGATTTCCTTTATATGCCGTATCCCTTCACGACGTAGACGATCATGGCTCTCCACAACTTCCTGTCCCTTGTAGCTCTTAATAATTTTTGTCTTTTTGTTATCTCTCCTAAACCTTGTTCCGCCATCGATTTCCTCAAGTACATTCTTCTACTTTTTGTATGTGCTGTGTCCCTGCAGGACGTAGGCGATCATGGCTCTCCACAACTTCCTGTCCCTTGTAGCTCTTAATAATTTTTGTCTTTTTGTTATCTCTCCTAAACCTTGTTCCGCCATCGATTTCCTCAAGTACATTCTTCTACTTTTTGTATGTGCTGTGTCCCTGCAGGACGTAGGCGATCATGGCTCTCCACAACTTCCTGTCCCTTGTAGATCTTATAAAGTTTTATCTTACTGTTATATCTCCTAAACCTTCTTCCGTCATTCATTTACTCAAGCCCGTACGTCAACTTTTTATATGTACCGTATCCCTGCAAGACGTTGGCGATTTTGACCTCCACAACTTCCTCTCTTTTGCAGCCCTTAATACATTTTGTCTTTCTGTTATTTCCTTAAAACATGTTCCGCAAGCCATTTACTCAAGCTCGCTCTTCTACTTTTTCTATGTGCCGTGTCCCTGCAAGACTTTGGCGATCATGGCTCTCCACAATTTCCTGTCCTTTGCAGCTCTTAATAAATTTAGTCTTTCCGTTATTTCTCCTAAACCTTGTTCCGTCATCTATTTACTCAAGCTCAATTAGTATCTCATGCTCTCTTTTCCTCTTGTCACTCTTGCCTTCAATCTATTCTGTGAGTATCAGATTTTCCAAGCCCTCTTTCCTCATTATGCAACCGAGAAACATAAACTGTCTCTTCCCGTTGTTAAGTATGAGTTTCTTTTTTGTTTCCATTTTCTCTAAAACTTTGTCGTCCATGTTTGTTCAGTCCATGTTATCCTCAGCATCCTTCTGTAGATCCACATTTCCGTTTTCTATTTTTCATTGTCCGGTACCCACTGCCACGCAGGAAGGCAGATATCAAGTTAGAGTTTAGTTCTTTTTTCTTTGTTTCCAGCGAAGTTTTTCTATTTCTTAGTACTCTGCTTAGCTTTTCCAATGTTTTTTTTTTTTTTTTTAGGAATATCCCAACACAGCTTCGGATTTCGGTGTCAAACGGTTAAAAAACTTCCCAGATAATTAAATTTCTGCACTTGTTTGATTTTGGTATCCCTGATTTGTAATTCGCACTTTGAGTTCACCCCTTTTGCTTGCAACTATGCTTACAACTCTGCTTTTCTTCACTACCTTCTGTAGCCGTCCTGGGTATGACGATAAACTACATCCACTTTCTGGGTAAGGCGATAAACTACATCCACATCTTGGGTAAGACGATAAACTACCTCCACGTCATGGGTAAGACGATAAACTACCTCCGCGTCCTGGGTAATGCGATAAACTACCTCCACGTCCTGGGTAAGGCGATAAACTACATCCACATCTTGGGTAAGACAATAAACTACCTCCACGTCCTGGGTAAGACGATAAACTACCTCCCCGTCCTGGGTAAGACGATAAACTACATCCACATCTTGGGTAATACGATAAACTACATCCGCGTCCTGAGTAAGACGATAAACTACGTCCAACAGCAAGGCCTCTGATCAGGAGGTTTTGAGGAGCGTGGAACCACCTCTTAATTGCTGGGGTGCTAGTATCTGTTAGGGTCACAGCTATGGGCAAATATTTAACCCTTTAACTGGTGTCAAAACAATATGAAAGTGCAAAATTTGATTTTAATGCGAGAAATACACTGTAAAAAAATATTACCATCAGTACATTTTTGAAAAACAAATATTGCCAGCAATACATTTTTGGATAAATGAAAACGAAAAACAAAAAGAAACATTATATGAAAAAGAATATTAGCAGCTATGCATTTTTTGAAAAAAAAAAAAAGGAAAAAATTATTACCAGCGATACATATTTGAAAGAAAATTATTACCAGAAATATATTTTTGAAGAAAAAAATATTACGAAAATTAAATTTTTTGAAGGAAACAATATTAACAGAAATAGATTTTTGAGAAAAATATCACCATAATAAAATAAAATTTTGTCGCCATTAAATAACCCATTGAGGTTGATATACCGTAAAACAAACCAAGCCAAACCAAATCTGTAGAAGTTGCTGTCATTTTCTTTCTGTGACTGCTATCAACATTGTGTTATCTTCATATCTTATGTTGTTAAAAATGTAGCCACCAATAATGAATCCTGGTTGGACTTCTAGTTCTCTCAGAATTTCCTTACTGTATAGGTTGAATAAGTCTATTAAGAAGACACGTCCTTGTCTTACGCCCTTTCTATTTTCTATGTCTGCTGAACTCGTTTTCTGTCCGTATGCAGACAGTTTGCTGCCAGTATAGGTTCTTGATTATTCTAATATCTTTTCCAAATAGATCAAGGTTGCTGAGCACTTCTCATAGATATTTGTGGCGTGATTTATCGATGGCCTTTGCGTAATCTGTAAAAAAAAAACACGTAGGAACACGTCCTTCTGCATGTGTATTGGTCTTTTGGATAATATTTTGAGCATAAATATCGTGTTCCTTGTTTCAGTGTCTTTGACGAACCCGCACTGTTCTTGTCCTATCTTTGGGCTGATTCTGCTGCGCGCTATATTCATTAGAATTCGGATGATGAGTTTTGTTATGTGGCTCATTGGGCTGATTGTTCGGCGGAGTTTTCATTCGTTTGCGTCTGGTTTCTTAGGCAGTGCTATAAAAAATAGATCTACTTAGCTCTTCCGGTATATCACCACAGCTGTAGATTTAATTTATTATTTCTGTTCTATGCCGAAATTGTTCAGGACTGTCAGCATCTCTTGCAAACTTCCGTCTGGCCCTGCCGCTTTGTTTCTGTTCAATTTCGTCAGTGCAGATTCCTCTTCAGATTTTACTATTTCCGGTCCGTCGGTATTTCTCTGTATTGTCGTGGAAGAGTTCTCCAGTAGTGTTTTTTCAAACGTAGCTCAGATGTGGCACAAGGCCGAAAGTATGGGGCACCCAGGGAGGATCGAACTCACTACGCAGTCGTAATTGTTCTAGCGAGACAGGCTTGTTAACTATTACACCATCTCGAGGTGCCCAAGAGTTCTCAAATATATTGGTTCCATCTTTGAAGTATTTTTTCTTTCTCTAATATCGTTCTGTCCGTGGATTTTATGCAGCCTCTTGGTGAGCATGACTTGTCCTGTTATTTCTGTTATTTTTTACGCATATCTGCTTTATTTATAAGATTCATTCTTTCTACTTCTGCACACTTTTCGTTGAGTCACTCCTTTTTAGCTTGATTGCATTTGTTCCTAATTTCTTTGAGCAGTATCCTATATTCTGTGCCGTGCCTTGTTTTCTTTTTGTCTTAATGTAGATAATTTCATAAGTCATCGGTTCCTTTTTTTCTTTTTTTAGTTTTCTATGGGGATGGCCTCGATTGCTGATGTTACTAAAGCTACTTTTAATGTGTCCCACTTCAAGTTTCCATTCTCATTTTGTCCATTGTATCCGGCTTTGAAATTGCGCACATATCTCTCCTGCACATTCGGGTCATTCAGGAGAGTGTCGTATTGAAATTTCGGCGCTATACTGACCGGCTCCAACTTCCGTAGTTTCAGTCTAACTTTACAATATCACTGGAAGGGGGTCGCTCGTTCATTTATACGTATGAGTTGCAGTGTAAAACTGAATTTCCGGATCTCTTATTGATAAGGGCTTACAGACACATCACGTTGAAACATCGGTTCACGTAACAACAACCGAAGTTAAGCAACGTCGATCCTGGTCAGTACTTAGATGGGTGACCGCTTGGGAATAACAGGTGCTGTAAGCTTGGATAATGGCTCAGAATTGTTAAAACAATTTTAGTTGGGTTCGTTATATTCGCAAATATCGCTGGGAGAGGTTAGAATCCACCCCTTCTCACCCCAAGCCCTTGATGAGTATGTCTTTTGTCCTGTTCATTCTCTTATTTTTTTATGCATATATCCTTTATTTGTGAATCTCATTCTTTCTATTTATACAAATTTTTCTTTGAGCAATTCCTCTTTATTTGTCCGTTGTGGGTCCTTTATTTTTCTACCTATTGTCCTATATTCTGTTCCGTGTCTTGGCCTAGTTTTTTTTTTTTATCTCCTTTTTAATCCTATCAAGAATTTCGTCTGTCATCCATTCATTTTTTTTCTTTGTCTAATTTCCTCTGGGATGATTTGGATTTACAACGTTGCTAGAGCTTCTCTTAAAATATCCCACTCCGAATTTTCCTTTTTCATTTTAGTTCTCGTATCTGCTTTCCAAACTGTCCATATATTTATTCACCAGACTCAGGTCGTTCAAGAGGCTGTCTTATTGCAATTTCGGTGCAGACTTATTCTTCTTCAATTTCTTTAGTTTAACGCGCCATAGTTTTGTTCGATTTTCCATATTTCATTCCCTACCAAGACATATATATGTCATTCCACCGATAAAAGCATTATTTAACCTGAAGAAGTCCTTTTGAATGTTCGAAACGGCCGACATAAAAATTTTTGTTCGATTTCACATATTTCATTCCCTACCCCGACAGATATATGGCATTCCACCGGTAAAAGTATTATTTAACCTGAAGAAGTCCTTTTCAAGGTTCGAAACGGCCGACATAGAATTTTTTTGTTCGATTTGCCATATTTCATTCCCTACCCCGACATATATATGTCATTCCTGTTGGAATTTTTGGGTACCCTGGTATAATAATGAGCCAGCCAAAATGAGCTGACTCATTTTATAGTTAACCAATAGAAGGGTTAACCAATCAAAAGGCTCAAAATATTCAATGCGACGTATATAAAGGCGGCCATGTTTTTCCCGAATATTCACTGCCAGCCATTGATATCGAAGACTGAAGAATTACGGAACAGCTGCTGGTGGTATTGGCGATATAGTCAGATTCAGTAGAGTGTCTGACTCGTGAGTATTAATATTTAACGTTGTTTCATTGAACAGATTACGTACTGCGCTGTATTCTATATTCATAGACTATGGTGAACATGGTCAACAATTCCACCGATAAATGCATTATTTAACCTGAAGAAGTCCTTTTGAATGTTCGAAACGGCCGACATAGAATTTTTTGTTCGATTTGCCATTTTTCATTTCCTACCTTGATATTTATATGTCATTCCACTGATAAAAGCATTATTTAACCTGAAGAAGTACTTTTGAAGGTTCGAAACAGCTCACATAGAATTTTTTGTTCATTTTGCCATATTACATTCACTACCCCGTCATATATATCATTCCACTGATAAAAGCATTATTTAAACTGAAGAAGTCCATTTGCAGGTCGAAACGGTTCACATATAATTTTTTGTTCGTTTTACCATTCAATTATCGTATCCTCTACTGACGTAAAACTTGTCTACATGTTGGAAGTAACAAAGAATTATTCAAGCAGAAACGATGTGGCTCCTCAAGAGGCATCTCTGGGCGTTAACAGCATGTCCGACCGATTTTTTCATTACTTTTGAGTGGCGTGTCTAAAACAGGTTGACATTTAGCTTTCCCATTCAAATCAATTAACAAAAAAAAAAAAAAAAAAAAAAAAGGAAAAAAAAAGAAACATTGCGTATTGTCATTGTTTCTGGGAGTCTGTGTCGAAACCTGTTCGTCAAGTACAAAAAATTTTCATTTTACGTAAGTAAGGCATATATACAAATGTCTTAAGGAAATGTGTACACGAACGAGAGTGATCTTATCTAAATGGGTGGTCAGGAGCTTAAAGTCAGTGGTCAGGAAATTAAAGTCGGTGGTCAGGAGATTACAGTCGGTGGTCAGGAGATTACAGTCACTGGTTAAGAGCTTATATTTTGTAGCCAGGAGATTAATATCGGTGACGAGGAGCTTAAAGTTGCTAGTCAAAAGCTTAAGGACGATTGCCATGAGTTTAGTCGGTGGATAGGATCTTAGTCGATGGTCAGGAGCTTAATGTCGATCGCCAAGAGTTTAAAGTCGGTGACTTGGGGCATAATGTCAGTGACCAGGAGCTTCAATTTGGTGGTTAAGAGCTTAAAACAAAGGTCTAAGTGTTTCAAGTCGGTGGCTAGGAGTTTAGAATCGGAGGACAAGAGCTTAAATCTGCTGGTCAAGAGCTTAAGGTTGGTGGTCAAGAGATTAAAACCGATGGCCAAACGTTTCAAGTCGATGGCTAGGAGCTTAAAGTCATTGGCCAGGAGCTTAAATTGCTGGTCAGGAGCTTAAGTTGGGTGGTCAAGAACTTAAAACCTATGGCCAAGTGTTTCAAGTCGGTTGCTCTCAGCTTAAAGTCGATAGACAGGACCTTAAAATTGCTGGTCAAGAGCTTAAGGTTGGTGGTCAAGAGCTTAAAACCGATGGCCAAATGTTTCAAGTCGATGGCTAGGAGCTTAAAGTCAGTGGCCAGGAGCTTAAATTGCTGATCAGGAGCTTAAAAGGTGGGTGGTCAAGAACTTAAAACCGACAGGGCCAAGTGTTTCAATTTCGGTTGCAATCAAAGAAGCTTAAAGTCGATAGAAATGGACCTTAAAATTGCTGATTCCGCTAGCAAAAAAATACACACCAAACGGTGGTTGGTGGTCAAGAGTCTTCATTGGTTTTTCAAACCGATGGCCAATTCTGTTTTATAAGTCGAAAATGGGCTTCATCACTAAAGAAGATTTTTTGCGAAAAAACTTTAGTGGCCAGAATGGCACTCCAAATGGACATCAATTTTCATTTGTCTCTAAACGTTTACAAAGTTCAAATGAAACAAGAACTGAGACTTGCTGACAGTTTGGTCAAAAGAACAAAAAAACCGATGGCCAGACAATTTAGTGTTTCCAATAAAGTCGGTTTAAGCGACTAATGATTTTTTTTTTTTCTTTCAGATTTAAAACTTTTGTCGCAATAACCAGGATTAAAAACATTACGAAGTTTGGACGGTCAATTTCGCTCCTTTGTAAAAAGTGTTCCAAAACTTGGACCGAGTTTAAGCGACTAATGATTTTTTTTTTTTTTTTTCAGATTTAACAACTTAAGTCTTTAGCAATTTCAACCATGGAAAGATTAACAATCAAAGAACGTGTTAAAGTTATCGAAGCTTATTACGAAAATGGACGTTCAAATTTATAAATATATGGCCCAATGATTCCGCTACCAAAAAATGCACACCAAACGGTGTAACTTTGTTTTGTGGGTGCGATGTGGATTTTCAACAGTCTTCATTGGATTTTCATCAAGCCCAAATGCGACAATCTCTGCTTTATAACGAATCCACCAAGATGAAAATGGACCTATGAACACTTCAACGTTTCACTAAAGAAGATTTTTTCGAAAAACTTGATTTTATCGGTTGTCTTTGCCAAGAGTCACTCGTTGCAGGTTGCAATGGGCGAATGGACAGCACTCCAAATGGACATCGAATTTTGACAAAAGATTTGTCTCTAAACGTTTACAAAGTTCAAATGAAACAAGAACTGAGACTTGCCATATTTTAATGACAGTTTGAAGCACCATACAAAATAACAAAGACCAACATGTATATTTAGGCAATCAGACACGTTTATATAGGGTGTTCCAATAAATTGGACCAATTTTAAATGTGAATTAAGTTTATTTATTCGACTAATGATTTTTTTTTTTTCTTTCAGATTTAACAACTTTTGTCTTTGGCAATTTCAACCATGGAAAGATTAACAATCAAACAACGTGTTTACAGTCCTTATTTTTTTGAAGCCTATTACGAAAATGGACTTTGGTGATTGTTTATGGCTCTCTCCCCCACAATAAATTCCGGACAGACTCCTTTGTAAAGAGTGTTCCAATAACTTGGACTCGATTTTAAATGAGAATTAAGTTTAAGCTTGACTAATGAACTCTGTTTTTTTTTGTTTTTTCTTTCAGATTTAATCTCGAACTTAAGTCTTTAGTTCTCAACTTTCAACCATAGAAAGATTATCGAAATCAAACAACGTGTTAAATGTGTGTTATCGAAAGCCGATTACGAAAATGGACTTTTCTAAAAACTGCTCCAGAAATGTTCCATACTGTTTACAAATAGGACATTTTAGGAATTAACATTTGTTTTGATTTTTTTTTTGTTTTCAACTCAATTAATTTAATTGACCAACAAAGAGTTGCAATTCAGTTCAAACGATGTTATCTTTGTTTGAATCTGGGAGGTTCAAGTTTCTCTTTTGCTTTTAAAGCGATGTTTGGAGTTTTTTCGAAATTCAACATTTTCGTGCACTGCAGCAATGTTACTGATCTTTTCAGCTGAACGGCGATTTAAACCAGTACGCTTTTTAAGGGGCAATGAATTTGGGGGCAATAGTTTATAGTTTTCCATCATCTTTGCCATCGAGTGTCACTTAAACCACTTGTTAAAAAACATCTGCTTTGCAATGGCCATATGACCAGAGCCAATTTCTCTGATGCCCCTGTTATGACCTATGACCAGAGCCAATAACGTCATTTCCTGGAGCATTTTCTACATACCTTAATGAACACAGCCAACGAATATTTCAGCTAGCCAGCAAAAATTGTCTTTCCTTATCCTTTTTGATTGTTGTTCGGACAAAATTATGCTTAACCATTTTATTCTTTTCTACAATTTTGTTTTAAGGTTCATTTTATCTTTAAACTAAGGCTTCCAAGAGCCTGTCAATGAAAGAAAATGGGGTTCTGATCGTGTGGTAACCTGGATATAAACTTTTACCAACAACCAATATCGTCGTACAAAGAGGGATTATAATAATAATAATAATAATGATAATGATATGTAGAATAGAAAGAAGAGTTACTTTTACATTATAACGGACTATTGTCCTCATCTTTTCCG